CGACGCGGGGCTCGAAATCACGGACCGCGAGATCGTGACCTGGCTGAAGTCGGACGCTTAACCGACTGCGCCACCCAGGCGCCCCTGTTTTTTACATTTACATAATCTTTCCTTCAACTATATATATGCTTCTGGTTCTCAAGAGTTGCAATATGGTAGAGTAGGAAGAATGTTGGAAGTCAATCAGAAAATCATTGTTGAGTTCCAGTTCTGCCACTATCTATTTTTGAGATCACGGGCAAATAATTTTTCAAAAGAAAAAGCAAAATATTCTTATCCAAGATTTAGACAACTTAGTATAGACTGAGTTATAGTCTGTACTATAACTCAGTCTAAAATAAGGCCTTTTATGGTTTTTCCACATATTAGAGCAAGTGCAAAATTAAAGTAGGTAAGGTTACCCAAGACCTTATGGTTCAGTTGTCTAAATTTGTTTCCAGTTTTAAAGTTTTGTTCAAGTCAGGATTCAAAGGTGGCATTTGCATTTACTCTATGTGTTAATTAAGATTCTTTAACGTAAAGGGTCCCTCTCTTTTTCCTTGCAATTTGTTAAACAAAACCAAGTCAGTTACCCTGTAGAATTGCCCGTTAAAGATTTTGTTGACTGCTTGCCCATGGTAGCTTTTAACATGTTTCCTTGTGTCATGTACTTCCTATTAATAGAACTAGGGGCTTGATCAGTTTTTTTTTTTTTTTCTTTTGAGTCATAGTATAAGGGATATTAAAATAGACCAATCAGTTCAAGTCTTGTCATCTTGATGTACCCACACAAAGTTCCTCCTCAGCTTTTCAATTAATGGCTTCAGGAGTGATTGATGGCCATTGCCTAACTCTGATTAGGAATTGTGAAATGGTGATATTCTAACACTCCTGCATTTATTAACTGGAATAATTCTACATATTTTATAAATTCTTCCACTCAATTATTTGATTACCCTAGGATAAGGCAGGATGAATGCTTCTTTGTCTCCAAGTAATCAGTTTCCAGAATAACTCCTTAATACCCCTCCAAAGGTGACTGAATTGGTTTATCTTTGTTTGCTATTAACATTTGGAATGCATAATTTACATATTTAAATTGTTCTGGTCCATTGTAGTTATTATCCATAATCTCTTATCCATACAGAGATTATCAAATTACTTTTGAGAAAAGATGGTGGTATTTGAGAGCTTTCCTGCTTTGGTGAGAACTGATAGGTATTACTGTTAATTTTTAGATGTGAAATGGTACCATGATTTTGTTGGAAGAGAAATGTGTTATGTCAAATCAAATAACATCTCTCAGATTTGTTCAAAATAACCTGGGGGCAAGTAGGTTGGGATATAGATAAAATAAGTTTGGCCATAGGTTGCTAACTTTTGAAGTTAGTATAAAACTATAGGCAACTACTGTTCATTATGTTATTCTGTTGTATACAGTTGAAAAAAATCCGTAATGAAGTTTTAAAACTCCCATTTCAAGAGTAAAAGTTACCTATTATTAAAAAAGTTTATAACAGAAAACCAGGAGAAAACACACAAACTTACGTTCAGCTCATATCCAACCAGATAGTTTCTGAAAATGATATCATGCAAGAGGAAAAAATATACATGCAAGAGGAAAAAAACTGATTTATTACACAACCTCACTTTCCATTAAAAAAATTTTGGATATTTGAAGTTAAGAGATAGTATGAAAAGTGTGATTCTTAAAGTATTCTTTATTAAGATCATTAAAAGTTGTAGAAACAACTTTATTATTATAAAGGCACAGGGAGACAGTTCTGATAAAATATTCAAATTAAACAGTAACTTACAGTACAAAAGACAATTTTAATGCACATACAAACCCCAAATGTCTGATTCAAAAATATTTTACTGTGTCTATTAATGGGCAATGATTAAAAATATAAATTGCTGCTGTATAATAAATATCTGATAGTGAACATCTTGATAGCAAAGTGAACAAAATATTTATTGCTTTTCACATACATATTTTTCCCTGTAATTTAAAATTCCTAATTCTTTTACTATCTTCTCAATCTTTCCACATAATCTCATGGGGGAAATGGTAGTTGTAACAACTACCTCCAGTAACAATCACTGCTGGCAGTGTTTTCTCACTTCCTGTTTTGCAATCACAATCACTTTTCCAAAGTAACATGAACGTTTGCTAAGCCACATGAAGACAACCCTCTGTGACTGGCATTCTAAAGTTTGTAATGAACACTTATCAAATATAAAAGGTGCTGTTTTGAAAATGTGTACTTTATTTGAAGTTCTAAGTGGAGAATGTTTGACAAATCATTTTACCTACTCCCCTCAAAAGTTTCCTGAAGTTGTAAAAAGTCAGCTTAGTAAAATTTCTAGCACTTAAATGTTTCTTTGAGGGCCAGTTGATACCTGTAATATATGGATGTATAAAAATTAACATAATGCAATCTATTTTATAATGGAGAGACCTTACCCTTCTCCCAGTTTTTATACTGAGATTAACATTATTGATTTCATCATGCTTTTTTGTAGCAACCCAGTTATAGATGGTACAAGCAGAATTTCTATCACAACAGTAAAATAACATGAATGCACCATCTTATCTCAATGCTATTTCAACTTAAATATCTACATTAAAGTATTTGATAATCATTGTAAAGTTACTTAACCATATGTCATGTTCAGACAGTGTGTAGCAGCTAGTAATGTGCCTGGCACAGAGTTGATGGTCAATAAATATTTGCCGAATGAATGAAAAAGAAAAGAAAAACTTGGCTTTGGTTGTGCACATTTTAATCACTTTCTGATTTAGAATAAGGTCAGTCTAGAACTAAATACTACTGCACACTACACCAAACTTTGCTGTAAGCTAAAGCAATAATTCTAAACAAATAAACAAAAAAAGGATCACCTAGGTCAGTGATAGTCAATTTACATATTGTAACTTTTTAGATTAGCCCACAAATTTCACACATTAATTTTTTATCCACATACTTAAATTTGATTAACAATGGGGTAATGGAGACCAAGTTGGGCAGACTGGCTAAACTATGCTTTTCAATAAAAATTACTAGTCCATCAGTAAATAATGTTATAATGCCCAATTAAACTAAGATGATGACTACCATGTTAATGTCTGCGAAACTACCAATGAATATAAGGTAGGATATCTTTTAAGTCACATATGCTTGGAAGCAGTAGCTTAACTTCTGAACATAAAAGAATAACCAGGGAGATCTGAATGTAACAGTGACAGAGTTCTATTATTGAAAGTGTGATAAGTAGTAGTAGTAGGTGACCAATTTTAAAATCTAACCATGATACTAGATCTAACATTTCTTTGGCATATGCATTACTATCTTGGACTAGTTAGCATTTAAAAAATACTGTGTTGTTTTTTCTCTCAATCAAAATTAATGTTAAGGTGAAGATTGCTAGCATACTCTTCTTAAAGCCTTTTAAAGGACAAGATGACATTTTGCAACATATGCCAAACTTCATGTTTAGTGTACACTTATAGGCATAGAGGGATGTAACTGTTAAATAATCTTAAATGATTTCATGCAATGGTGAAACCACAGAATGTGGAGAGAAAAGTATTTACACAATAAAATATTCAGCTCTGAAAAAACAGTAAACTTGGGAATCTTGCCCTAACAGTAAATGTGTACCGCATAGCACTGAACAAAAACTAGTTCAAATTTAAATAAACAACTAGAGTAACCTGAATGTGTAAAATTTAATAAAAAACATAAAAATGGGGGTGGGGAACACCTACACATCAGAAGGAAAAAGCGGCCTATAAAACAGGCCAATCTAACTTGACATTCAAAGTAAATGCAAGAGATTCACAAAATCATGATAGTAATGCAAACTAAGTCAAATACCAAGTACCCTTTGATACACAAGCCAAAGTAACTATCAGACTCATTTCCAATAGCTTCACGATATTCATTAATCCACTCAGGCATTCAGGGGAGCGAAGCAGTCAATGATAGCTCAAGTCTCCAAAGTGTAAGAACAAACTTATTTGCAGAAGCGTCATGTAATTTTTGAAGTAATGTCTTATTTTGATGTTAACATAAGATCTATCAGTGCAACTTTATCATCTTCTGAATGTATTACTTCCAAATTTCATTTTGCCATATAGTTTTTGGTGGTTTAGTTTCAGCCAGTGCTATTTAAATGGAAAAAAGGAAAGTTCAGCATAGACTACCTCACATTGTTACTTAATTGTGCTAGATATTCACGCAGCTCTTTTGCAGCTTGGAATCTGCCATAGCGTTTCTTTGGGTTGGCACACTCATCCAGCAAGGCCTCTAGTCGGCCATCTTTGGCAATTTCACTTGGTGGATCATGAAGGAGTCCTCCAGAAGTGCCACGCCAGGTGGCATGTCTGGATAAGAGGTTCTGACAAACAGCATAATAATTGTGGTCCACAGTCGCACGAGCACAAAGAATTTCTTTCGAAAATGATAAGCAAGCCTCCTTATCACAGTCATCAAATTTGCTTTCATACCATACATCCCAATTTTCAGGTTTATCTGTGAAAGGGGGAAAAGCAGAAAGAGAAAAATACATTTTAAAAATGTTTTCATTGCTTCCCAAAATACACTTCACTAATTACCACAGTATTTCTTGCTCCAATTGTATTATAATTTTAAACATTTAAATATATTAACTTATATAGAAACATTTATCAGGAGTTAGCCAACGTCAGGCCGAAAGATCAGATAAGGCCCCTACTACTTAAAGAGTTTAGTGTGGATAGAAACTTTCCACCATACAGAGGAAGTACCATACAGAGAAGTAGGACACAATGCTACAACAGTACACAGGAAGCAGTACTCCTGCCTGGGGCTACAGAAGGCTGCAGGGAGAATATCTGATTTAGGTCTTAAAACAAAAGGCTAAGTCTGAAAAGAAATGAGGGAAAACAGTAGTGTAGGCTCAGTATAGTGTGTGCAAAGGCAAGGACTTAAGGGATTGTTCCAGCTGATTCAGGAGATAAGTAGTTTACTGAGGCTAGAATGTGAGACAGCTCCTGGAGAGAAAGTATAGAAGAGCCTAGAGAAATAGGTTGAAACTTGGGTGGTCATGAACATGATTTCTTTTACAGGAAGGTAACTCTGCGGGCTCGCGAGTGGCTCAGTGGGTTCAGCATCGGACTCTTGATTTCTGCTTAGGTCATGATCTCACAATTCGTGAGTTTGAGCCTGGCATCGGGCTCTGCACTGACAGTATGGAGACTGTTTCAGATTCTCTCTCTCTCTCTCTCTCTCTCTCTCTCAAAATAAATACACTTAAAAGAAAAAGAAAAGGTGACTCTAGAATGAAGACGGGAGGGATTAAGATGATGAGAGCAACTAATAGTCCAGATAAAAAAGCCACATTGTAGAAACGTAGGAGACAAAAATTAACAGGTAAGTTTAAGTTGAAGGTTCTAAATGGATGACAAGGTCAACAGTATTTACATAACAGGGTTAACATTTCATATGGAGAGAATAAAGTACCTATGAGGTATTCAGGTAGGCATATCATATGTGCAATTAGAAATTGACTTGAAACTTAGTACTTTAACTTTTTAATGTTTATTTATTTTTGAGAGAGAGAGAGAGAGAGAGAGAGAGAGAGAGAGAGAGAGAGAGAGCGTGAGCCGGGGAGGGGCAGAAAAGAGGGAGACACAGAATCTGAACCAGGTTCCAGGCTCTGAGCTGTCAGCACAGAGGCCGACTCAGGGCCCGACCTCACAAACCATGAGATCTGAGCCGAAGTCAGACACTCAGCCGACTGAGCCACCTAGGTGCCCCGAAACTTAGTACTTTGAAGTCAGAGGTACAGTACACATATTTAGAATGCATCAACATAAGAATGCTTGATGGAGCCAAGAGAAGAACTGAATTATATTGGAAAGTGTGTTGAAAGCAAAGAAAGAAACAAAGGGCAGAACCTTTGGGACTTAAGGGGTTGGTAGAGGAGAAATTAGTGAAAAAAATTCATTCAGCAAATCATTATTTGAGTGCCTACTCTATGGCAGGTAAGGGTATATACTGGCAAACAAAATAATAGATGGTTCCTGCCTTCACTGGCTTACAATCAAGTATGTGAAATGGTCATTAAATAAACATTATCATAAACAGTGGAAAATGCTATGAAGGAAACAAACATTTTTAACAGTAGAAAGGTTTAAGAAAGAAACAACCCTCCCTACCATTAGATACGGTGGTCAAGTATAACATTTAAGCTAAGCTTCAAAGGACAAGTAGCTACCTATTTATGGGAAAGAGGTGAGGTGAGGCATTTTAGGCAGAGGTCACTGCATTATGGGAAAGCCCAGAAGTAAAAGGTTCATTCAAGAAACCAAAAGGCCACTGTAGCTGAAGCATCAAAGGCAGTAGACAGAGGGATATTAAAAGTGATGCAGATTGTGCCCTGGTAAGAAGTTTGATTTTATTTTTTCTTTAGGTCTCTTTAACATTTCTTTTGTACACAGAGAACATAACTCAATCTTTCACTTGAAACGTTTACAAATATGTTACAAAATTTAAATAAAACATTGGTTCACCTTAAGCGCTTACATTATTTTGTAAATTGAAGTATAATTAATATACATTGTTTTATTAGTTTCAGGTACAAAACATATGGACTCTTCTATATATTATCCAAAGCTCACTATGGTATGTGGTCACCAACTGTCACCATGTTATTACAATATTATTGACTATATTCCTTATGCTATACTTTTCATCCTTGTGACTTATAACTGGAAGTTTGTATTTCTTAATCCTCTTTATCAATTCTGCCCCTATCCCCTCTGACAACCATCAGTTTGTTCCCTGTATTTAAGAGTCTGGTTTTATTTTGTTTTTTACATTCCACATGTGAAATCATGGTATTTGTCTCTTTCTTCCCGAATTATTTCATTTAGCATAATGCCTTCTAAGTCCATCTTGCAAATGATAAGATCTCATCCTTTTTTATGGTTAATATTCCCTTATACACACACACACACACACACACACACACACACACACACACACACACACAACACTTCCTCTTTATCCATTCACCTTAAGCTGCTTCCATATCTTGGCTATTGTAAATAATGCTACCATAAACATAGGGGTGCATACATCTTTTCAAATTGATGTTTTTGTTTTCTTTGGAAAATACCCAGTAGTGAAATTACTGGATCATACGGTGTTTCTATTTTTAACTTTCTAAGGAACCTCCATATTGTCTTCCACAATGGTTGCACTAATTTACATTTCCACCAATAGTCCGTGATGGTTTCCTTTTCTCCACATCCTCACCAACACTTGTTACTTCTTTTCTTTTTGTTACTAGGTATTCTGACTGGTGTGAGGTGATATCTCATTGTAGTTCTGATTTGCAATTCCCTTATGATCAGTGATGTTGAGCATCTTTTCAGATGTCTGTTGGCCATCTGTATGTCTTCTCTGGAAAAATGTCTATTCAGGTCTTCTGCTTATTTTTTAATAGGATTTTTTTTTGGTGTTGATATTTAAGTAGGAGTTTGAATTTTACCTAAAGAACAATGGGAAGTCATTAAAAATATTGAGCGAGGGAGTGATAAGATCAGCTTTATGTTTTAAGAAAGAAACTATGTGAGTAGAAGGAAACCAAAGGACGGAAGAATTGCAGGAAGTTGTTACTTATCAGTCACTTCACGAATTTGGCAATTAGGTGGTTGCTAATGGTAATACAGGATTTTAAGTCAGGTTCTAATGGGTGGAGGCATGAATGGAGGCTGAGGGAGTAGAAACAGGAAGAGTAAACAATGTATTTAAAAATAGGTGAAAAACGCAGGGCCTTGGAAAAGTCTTAGACATATTTGTTTATGGGGAGGGAAGAGAAATTGGATTTTAAGGAAGGAGTGGGAAGCTGAAGATAAATAACGCAACAAGTTCTCAGAGAAGGATCTACTCTGAAATAGAGAAATTAATGTGTATGGTTTTTACTAGTTTAGATAATAAAGGAAAGGACACTGCGGGAGTTGCTACAGAGAAACCTCAGTGTCCTTGTGAAAGAAAAAATAAAGATCATTTCCCAGAAAGAGGTCAGAAAAGAAGGTAAATACATAAATATGAAATTTTGTAAAGTAGATATTTAAACAGCTTTCCTGGGTGGCTCAGTCAGTTAAATATCCAATTTCAGTTCAGGTCATGATCTTAGGGTTCGTGAGTTCAACCCCTGCGTTGGGCTCTGTGCTGACAGCTCAGAGCCTGGAGCCTGCTTCGGATTCTGTGTCTCCCTCTCTCTGACCCTCCCCTGCTCGTGCTCTCTCTCTCTCAACAATAAACGTTAAAAAAAAAAAAAAAAAAAACTAAACAGCCCTTCAATGAGACATTTCAAAAGTGGCCAGAGCTAAAGTAGCACTGGAGCAATGCTCACTATATGAATACACTTGTGTAGTTGTATTTATCCAAGCTTAGGAATCAGTTGGTATACAACTGTGACATGTATTCCAAGAATGTCTGGATAAAAAAATTACAAGAAATTATTTTTACAAACACTGAAATGAAAATTTTGAAAGTTGAGGTAAGTTGCACAACTTTGTGAATATACTAAAAGCCACAGAACCGTACACTTTATTTTTCAATTTAATGTTTATTTTTGAGAGAGAGAGATGGAGTGTGAGCCAGGGAGGGGCAGAGGGAAGAAGACACAGAATCTGAAGCAGGCTCCAGGCTCTGAGCTTGAACTCAAACCAGAGATCGTGACCTGAGCCAAAGTCAGATGCTTAACCGACTGAGCCACCCAGGCAACCCTGAACTATACATTTAAAAAAGAAAAGCATGATGGAATCCGATGCGACACTCACAAATGCAGGAAGAAGTAAGTGGGGAATAAAGCACTCTAGCAGGCTGTCTACTCCCTGTGGGAGGATCTACATAGCAAGTCAAGAAATAATCAGAAAACAGTTTGGTGAGTATAGAATCAGAACAAGGTACTGGGAAAAACCAAGTATTTAACAGGATCAAGAGAAGATCGTGCAAAACCTAAGAGTCAAACTAATAAATTTTTGTTAATTTCCTGCATTTCCCAGATGCCATACATTTTTGGTCTGAGTTCATCAAAAAATCCTCCTAAGACAGGAGAAGAGGGGATTAAAAATATAAGACATTCACCATAGAGCAACAATCTTTCAATTTCTTTTACTAAGTAGATTAATTACAGAGTTACAGGCTTTGTCTCTGACACTTTAAAATTCCTGTGGCATTTAATTTTCAAAACACTTCAGACAGTCTGCCCACCTATCCTATGAAAAGCTCACAAATAAATGGAGAGGAAAGTTTTGGGTAAGATGTAATAATGTCAAACTGAAGTTAGGGATCTGCAGTGCTAGAAATCATCTAACGGTTAAACAAAAAAACAAAACAAAACAAAAAAATCACCATTGGAACCCCACAGAACAATGGAACACAGAACATCACTGTAAGAGATCCCACAGGAAAATAAGACCTCCATGTTTACTCTGGTAGTCTGTCACTATATAAAAACTTAATTCTGCATTACACTCCTAAACCACAAACTGTAGCAGACTACATGAAAAATACACACACACACACACACACACACACACACACACACACACACACACACACAGTATACCTGGACATTTGAACTCAAAGGATATTTTACTAAATATGGAGAAACTCTGACTAAAAGTACAAGTATAATAAACTAGTATGTGTTTACTGACACTGGTCAAAAAAAACAAAGAGGCAAGGCTGCCATCTAAGAAGGAAACTAAAGGTTTTTTTCATATAAATGTAAACTTTATTTTATCATAGAAAAAATCTGTACAAAAAGCAAATCTAAAATTTATATACTTACTTTGTCTAATTAACCTTTTGTCGGCAACCAAAACATTTTCAGCATCCACAATGATTACCTTCCCATCTCTAGGACCAACTGCAAAATTGTCAAAGCTGACGTCCAGGAGGTAGAGTGCAAATTCAAAGTCATTGTTTGTAAGCTGCTCAGCTATTTCCATCAATTGCCAAGCGAGGTCAACTCGTTTCTCCCATGGTGCATTAAAGTAACTCCACAGTTCTTCTCCAACGTAATTTACAGCCACCATTCTTCCACAAGCTCCAAGATATTTTGCAAATGGCCAACCTTCATCAGATGGAAAACTCTACAAAAGAATTATCTTCATATTACAAAAGATCCCGATGAAGATATCCTAGGTCTACCCCACCTCCCCTGATCCTCTTAGCAGAGACTGTTACTAGGCATGCACTTGGTATTTCTTATTATATTCAGGAGTTGAAGAGAAATAAAGTTGATTTCTTTTCTAATTCATAACATTACTATGGACCTAAAATCTTTAAAAAAAAATTTTTTTTTCAACGTTTATTTATTTTTTGGGGGGACAGAGAGAGACAGAGCATGAACGGGGGAGGGGCAGAGAGAGAGGGAGACACAGAATCGGAAACAGGCTCCAGGCTCTGAGCCATCAGCCCAGAGCCTGATGCGGGGCTCGAACTCACGGATCGCGAGATCCTGACCTGGCTGAAGTCGGACGCTTAACCGACTGCGCCACCCAGGCGCCCCTGGACCTAAAATCTTTTTAAATAGGTAACTTTACATTATAAAGCTAAAACAGAGTAAGTCTTACTTATCAAAATTTCAGAACCAAACTGATCAACAAAACATAAGCCACCTTCCTTATTACCAAATCTAGAAGTATTTACATTTTCCTTTATCTTTCTAATTTGTTTAAGTACATTCAACCATCCTTTCCTTTGAATGAACAGCACTACAGGCCTATTGGCCAGCAAGTATTTACCAGGCAGCACACACTGTGCTGTACTGGCAAGAAGAGTGAATGAACTAAACAGAGTCTTTAAAATAAAAATTTTAGAGGAGAAGACAGATAGCAAGCAATTTTGAGTATAACAAATGTCAGTTATTAAGAAGTAGTGTAGGTCCTAAGGGAGCATTTAATAGAGGCTATACCTAGTCCACAAGCGGGCAGGGGTAGAATTTAGCAAGGGATTCACAGAAGTGTCTCTTACCCCAAGATTGGTAAAAAGCAGTCTGATATCCTATTGATGCAACCTGCACTCCAGGTACCTTTGGTCCCAAGTCAGTTGTTTCCCTTCCTACTCCCACTGTATTTTCTGTTCACCTTTAGCTCAACTTCAAAATTACTTATTATCTTAATCTTCGCAAGGTTTTCTAGGTTTTGTAATCACTGGGAAAATTAACTGGCTAAAACAAAAGTCTTCCATATTGATGAACAAGTCACTGTCAACTCAAATGTCAGGCTTTATCTAAGATACTTTCCAGTGCTAAAATGCCCAACTACAAAAATGAGCATTGTAGTGCAAAAGGATGGGAAGTAATGTTTTAAACAACTCCTTGGAAGATAACATGACTAGAGGAAGTTATGTTATGTGCCATTCCATCAGCCTAGCATCTTTCCTTGAATTGGGGGAAAAATTGTAAGATGGTATTTACACAAACACTGCAGGGGAAACAAAGGAAAACACTGCAGAATATAAATACAGCTTACTTCTATTGCTAAAAATTGAACAATCTATGTACATTTAGAGAGCTGGAGATGAGGCCTTTCTTCTTGGACCCCTTATAAAAATAATATTAACTTAACTCTGAACTTTCATAAAAGTGAAAAAATTCAGTAATATCCTTAACATTAAAATGTTTGTCAACTTAAAAGCAAAAGGTTCTTAGAACTAAACTTCATCCATAATTACCTGTTTTCATTTGTGATTTCTTTCAACTGTAACTATTAATGAACAGTAACTGTACTTGTTCTTTGTGTATGTAACTTTCTTTTAAGTTTTAGTATCTGCAGTTTTGTGATAAAACACTAATTATGTAAATTAAAGATATGATAGTATGAATCTTTACATATAGTAAATGAATTAATTCAATTTTAATTCAGATCCAACATCTACTCTGATTCTTTAGCAATTAGAGGGAAGCACCCTTCTCCTCTTGTATCTGAGAATTTTTTATTTCTTATGGATACTGGGAAAAGTGACAGACTGCTCATGTCCAAAGTGAACTGCTAAATCCGGTTTGCTAACCATGTGTTATTTTCAACTTTTTCTTCTCAATTTCAAAATACCTCCATGACCCTGAAAATTTACACAAATGATTACAAAAGATTTAACTGTTTCCCAGAAGTATTCATGTACAAAGTACCTGACATTAACAAAAAAAAGGAAAGCACTAAAAATTGGTAAATGGGAGATTATATACTTTTGTCCTGCAAAAAGTAAAACAAAAAAATTCCCTCATACACTATTGGTATATTATTCACATGCCATACTGTAAAACAGATACAAATATATCTTTGTGAAAATAAAATGGTCTTTGACAACAGGAGAAAAGGGAACCCTGCCAACATCTGCACATGTACAAATGCCTCCTTGTTTTTGGAGACTTTCCAACTGGCAAACGACAGTTAAATATACACTTCATTACCCAAGGCCCTCATAGAAGAGGATAAAATATATGAACAAATGTCACAGTGAGCAATTTTATATTCATACAATGATTTTTGACAATGTTAACTAAAATCCTGTTATGCCTCATTTTAAGAAGTGCACTGCAATTCTTTCACATAGCTTGCTATCTAATCTTTTGGAAGAACTTTAATAAATGAATTCACGCTACTAGTTCAGATGACATTTTTTCATTGTATAATCAAAATAGTCAGATTTCATTAATGAGAAAAGAATTCTATTGAACACACTACAGTACAAAGAAAATGCTCAAAGGAAGCCGAAATATAATTTTTATTTAAAACAATTCTGGCTTAGCATCAAAGTTCCATGGTCAGAGTTTGAGAGACAAAATTTTAAGATGTTACAGAGTGGACTTGGACTTGTTAAATATATCAAGCAATGAGAAACACAAGTTCTTACTCTCTGATTCCCAAACTCCCACAGGGCAAAAACAAACAAACAAACAAACAAACAAACAAACAAACAAACACACACACACACACACACACAGCAGCTAGAATAAGAAGTTTATTGGGGCGCCTGGGTGGCGCAGTCGGTTGGGCGTCCGACTTCAGCCAGGTCACGATCTCGCGGTACGTGAGTTCGAGCCCCGCGTCAGGCTCTGGGCTGATGGCTCAGAGCCTGGAGCCTGTTTCCGATTCTGTGTCTCCCTCTCTCTCTGCCCCTCCCCCGTTCATGCTCTGTCTCTCTCTGTCCTAAAAATAAATAAACGTTGAAAAAAAAAATTTTTTTTAAAAAGAAGTTTATTGCTGAGGTCCACAGGTTTTATTTTAAAACAAACCTTAAAATCAGATTTTCAAATTGCCTAGAACAACAGACACATAGTTTAAAGTAACCTGACATAACGTGTGTGTATTTTAATAAGTTATTTACAATTAAAAAAATATGTACAAATACTTTTCATTTGAAGGAAGGAGTCTTTAAACTTGGAATGATTTAAATTCTAACTGGACTGGAGGCACTCCAATTAATTGTTTATGGTTTTTTATCAGGTCTTAACTTACATCAAAGTGTAATATGTAAAGTCTTTAAAACTAAATATTAGTTCAAAAGTGTACGAAGTTACAAAATAGTTATAAAACTATGTATTTTCATTACTGTATTTTTTTTTAATTAAGTTGGTGAGAACCCAAGAAAACTTCTAGGAGTATTATTAGCAATGTAGAAATTAAAAATGGATATTCAAGTATTAAGATACACATGACTGATAAGATTTAAATAAATATTAAATGCCGTCACTGTTAATTTATAAAATATAAAGTATTTTGAGTATGAAACCTAAGATAAATCTCTCTCTCTCTCTCTCTCTCTTTCTGGTAACAGAAAACTACAAGTTACCTCCTGGATACCTGATAAAACCCAAATACTACTAATAACAATATTACATGCATCGACAGTAGCTTAAAGCCAAAGTTACAGAAATAAGTAAACAAAACCACTGGTGACATTATATGTACATATTTGATATTAAAGATCAGAAAATGTAGATATCTTATGCTCTTTATGGTATATAACATTTTATAAAATTTGTATACTTAAAAGACAATATAATATACAAGTAGAAAAATGGAATTGAAATCATAAGAGTAGCTTTAAGGTCCACCTTCACTCTGCATCTCACTAACAGTGACTGTGGCAAAGCCAAAACTTCTTAGAGCTTTAGCCTATTCCTCTGTAAAACTGGAATAATATTTGTACTACCACATATATTCATCAAGGCAACCCAAGGACCAAAAGAAAAATAGTATAAAATATACTTTGCAGATTTAATATTACTTTATGAAGAAATGCTTACCAAAACATTTTATTTTTCCTATTTATTTTATACTTCCTAAATAAATCTGCTAAATAAGAAGTCCAGATATTCATCAAGAGTTACCCTTATTTTCATATCACTTACTGAAAGGCATCTAGGAATAATGAACATCTTCCAAATACAGTCAAGAACTACCAAACTAGAAAAGCATTGTTACTGTCCTCTAGTAGTTTCTAATTTACAATGAAATATATTAATTAGTCACCAAACTTTAAGTAATAAAAAATGTGTAGGGCATCTAAAAAAAACACCAAAAATACAAAAAAAATTAAAACTTGGTAACATATATACACATAAACTCAACACTGTAATTCACTTTTCATTTACAATAGTTAAGTACCACAGAATAAATTCTAAGTGCTGAAGTAATCCATCACCTATTTATTGATCAAAATCAACCATCATGATGGTTTATATGATTTATAAAGAAGACGTGAAATCTAAGAATTCTAGAGTTGGAATGTATGTGAGTTGTAAATCTAGTTTAATCTTATTAGCACAGTTTAAATGATTTGCCCAAAGTCACACAGATAAAAGGCTGATACAACCCCTCAATCCAATATCCTCCTGTTTCAGAAGTTTCCAAATTTTGGAAAGGTAACAGTGCATATATTACATACACCTATTATGCAGAGTCTGGGACATATTATGCTGAGAAAATAACGTAAGCTTATACATTCTAAGTGGGATAAATTACATAAATTATCTCATGTGCTTTCATATATATGTTTTAATTTGACAAAACCTTTGTCAAGTTTTTAAACTGGAATTGCAGGTAAGGGACTGTAGGTTAACTCACATTCCACTGACTACTCAAGC